CTGAAGTTTGTTCAATATACATTAGGCTGTGGCCATTAATGCCTTTTACATGTTATGTGACTGATACAAGTACAGTATTTGCATTGTGGATGTCACTGTTCTGAAACATTTTTTTGATAATTTAACTTATCTCTGCAAATCAGTTTATACTAATTTTTCATGTAAAGCATTTCTTCTACTTAGACCAGTGTCTTTCCTTCCCAAACTATTGTTCCATGACAACAAATCTTGGTGCACTGCCAGGTTGAACATGTTAACAACACCTAAGTGGTATATCTACAATCATGGAAATTGTGTTGGTGAAAGAAAACATTGATTAAAGTTGTTAAGCTGATAGCATTGATCCTCCGTCCCACTGGCCAAGTGTGGTTACTTCACACCCCTCTTGCACAACAGTCTTCTGTCACAGATATAGTATGTGTATTCTAAACAAAATTCTCATTCCTTCACGAGTTTACACAATTAGACTACAGGAGGGCATTTTTTCTTATTATTCTAATAAAATTTAAATGTTTTAAGAGTTATGAGGCAAAATTACATGCTTGTCATAAATATCCACTACTTATCATTATGCTGACATTTTGAGAATATTCAGGCCCTTATATATGTATGTCAGACAACTAACTAGTGAGACAACCCAATAAAAACACTTTCACTCAATTGAATATTTTGCGATAGCTTCCTGGGTGCTAATTTCTTTTCTACTGCTGCCCACATACATAAAACACAGAACTTCAATTCCATTAAAACTCTTACATGTGTCTATTGAATAAATGGCTGGCTATAATTACCCCCAGGAATTACTTGGTTCCATCAGCTTCTGACATGAGACAGACATTCTGTGCCATGGGAATCAACAACACATGCAGTGAGCATGCCGCTAGATATGAGTTCCTGAGTTAGTCCAGCATGGGGACTTAGAAAAGATGGTTTGATTTGCATGATCCTGTATTGAAAAAAAGTTAAGATACGTTGGTCATGCAGGATGGCAAATGTCCATCCAGGCCTACACAATGAGAGAGTCAATGTTCTGTTTTATCCAGTGGTATGATTTCACATTATTAAGAGAAAATAAAATCTAATTCTGTGTGGACCTGCAGCCATATATAATTACTGTAATTACTTGATCTTTTCAATGGGAAAAATTGTGAATTCTACAGGAAAAATGAAAACTTTGTTTCTCATCACTTCTTGGCCATCCTTTTTTTAGGATAAAACTCTATGTGTAACCCTAATTTTTGCCCCAAGGAATAAAGAGAAGCATATATACACAGTTTCACCAAATTCCTAATTTCATATTTTAATTATTTTCATCATAATAATGTGACAAAAAATACAAAATATCTTAAAAAATCATTTAAATTTCACTATATCAGCTCTAAGTGGCTAGAAAAACACTCAAATGTGAAAGGCTAGCAATTTTCTTTACTGGAAGTGGGGATAAATTACAGTAAATGAGGAGCTTTACAAAAAGTTGGACCTTTAGTGATGTAGCATAGAAATGCACTCAGCAGGTGCTCTCAACTGACTTATAATCTGGTTACTTCTGATAAAGATGTCCTGCAGAATTTGGCGATTGTATATGACAGCAAGTATTGAACTGAATAATAACGTGATGCAATAGCAGCTGGGATCCCTAGCTTACTCCACCACTACTGCATTCAATAATATTCTATGGAGTTGAACTTCAACTGACAGGAACTGCAATGGATGTGATAATCACTATATATATGACAAGTTTCCATTTTTTTCTGTTGTTAAAAAGCATATTTTAACTGATCCACTTTTCAGATTTTATTGTTTTGTTAAAACGCAAGTGAACAAAGATACAAATTTATACTCTTCCGTATTACTCTTGTGAAAATTATAAAAAACTCTATGGAAATATCCCTTTAACAGGTCTTATCAACTGATTAGGCTTTTACTAACACTACCCACAGATCTTTCAGCACTAACACCCATATTTACCACATAACCCACAAATTAACCAGCACTACCAGAGCAGATGAATGTTAGTGCTAGGCATCGCTTTGTTGGTGTTAAATAATTGTACAGTGTGTTGGTTAATTCATGGGTTTTGTGGTTAATATGGGCGTGCTAAAAGATCTGCAGTTTGTGTTAGTAAATGCTTTATCCATTTATAAGGCCTGTTTAAGTTGTAGTTACCACAATTATTCCAGAATGAGACTACAATGATGTGAAATTTGGCAGAGACAGCAACAGAGAGACTGTAGCAGACTCAGGAGTACAAATTTTGGAGATTCAATATGTACAAGAAAAACCTAAAAAGTTTAATAATGAAATAAAATGAAGGAAAGAAGGACTTAATAAGGCAGCAAATAAAAGGATTGTTCATTCATTTGATCAATTTGACCACTGAAAAAACATTTGAAAATTAATCATATAACAAAATTTATTTCACTAGAAATCTTGCACAAAATATACAGAAAGTAATAAGAAATTCATGGTAAAAAGTAGATCATTTCTTATGTGACTCAACATGTTATTTTAACCAATGTAACATGGCCTTTGACTCCTTCATTAAAGGGCCTAAATCAGACTCAATGTTGACATCGTAACTTCAAAAGCTCAGATTCGGATGCCATAATGACTGAAATGTCTTGCTTCATTGGTTCAAAATTTTTAGAAATCTATTTTCCAACTGTTATAATATTGCCTCCACAATCAGAACTATATATTCAGATAAAATTATATCTCTCCTAAGGCATCCAAGGAAACAAGTCAGACAATCTATTGATTCAGGCTTAAAAGTGTGTTTTCTAGCACAGGTCATCATCCTCAGCCAAGGACAAAGATGCAAGCATCTATACAAATTAAGATTCCACCTGATAACAAAAGATTGCAGTCAGACTGCTCTTAAAGCCCAGTGAGAGAACACGTTTATGATTATGCTAGGTTATATACGCACACATGGGCCTTGTTGCTAAATTCTTTTTTCCCCTTCTCATTGTCATAATTTCATCACATCGCAACCTATATGTAAATATTTGTTTGGTGAAAATAAGATTGAATAACTGAATCAGTTGGTATTTTCTGCTGATTAGTAATAGTGGAACACATTTTACAGTTGTATGCTATATATAGAATCATTGACCCAAACAAGTACCGTTGCTTATAATGTGATTTCTTTTGCCTGTTTCATATAAAAACTCTATGTTGAAAAATATTTTGACCTGATATAGTGATGATTAACCTAGTATGTGAAGTCTCAAATGATTGAAACCTAACATCCCCTGTTCCTTCTAATATTTCAAATCCTTTCCTTAATTGCAGCTTCTACAGGAAAACAAGTCAATGATAATGAGACACATGTGACAGTGGCAGATATTTCCCTGTCAGAGCTTATGAAATGACATGGGAACTGTTGATTTCTCCCAATTATCCTTGCAAACAATAAGCTGAGCTTGTACTTAATTATTTTCCCTGAGCTCATTATTTGCAAGAATATACTTCTTTTTAAAGGTGATAGAGTATCTTCTTTTTCATTTTAAAACCAACTCTCTATAACTATCTACCTTAAACCTTTTAAACATTCTATATTTAATGAAATGTTGCACAAATGTTTACAGTACTTCTTATCTACCAAGAATGTTCAGCACAATCAGAGCTTTCTTTGTTGTATCACAACTATCACATTTCTCACCCAGAAGCAATGGAGAAACAAGAGAGGAAAATCTACTGCAAACACTTTTACCAACTTAAGCAAAAAACCTTTATAAAATGATGCATGTCTTTCAAATAAAATACAAATATTCCACTGACCTAAATCATCACTATATTTGTGTATCAGACCTGCTAAAAGAAGTACCATTCAAAATAGTTATCTTATTTCATTTCCAGTACAAAAAGAAAGCATTCATAAGGATCCTTTCTATAGATATTTCAAATTTAAAAAAAGAATAGAAATAAATGTATGTAAACTTCAACCACTGGGTGCCATTCAATACACTAACAAATAAATATGTGGTAATTACTATATAAATTCCAGCAACATGTATTAATCATTTTATTTGAAAAAATGTTTTGTAAGTAATTCTTCAAATAAATGTTAAAAAAGAAATAAATGTTAAAAAAGATAGTGACCCTGTGTGCGTCAGAAAGTATACTGTTGTGTCTGGGTATGAAAAGTTGCAAAAACTAAAACATAAGAAAAAGTGAGTCATCTGGAAAATTCATGTAATTATAGAAATTTGAAGGGAGAAGAATTGCAAGCCACGAGTAGGTGCAAGGTCGAAAACCAAAAAGGTAGTACAGGTTGGCTTGCAGGTAGAATACCTTTGTTCTTTATCAGATAGAATGTGAAAGACATACAATGTGAATTAGACCTTGATATAGTGATAAAATCCTGGAAACTTCAGCAATTTAGGTTTTGTTAAATAGAGGATTAAAATACTATGGGTGCCTCTACAACAAAATTTTTCTCAAATCACTTTGTACTCAGTTACAAGAACTTAATCACTATATCTAAAGTAGGAAACAAATCATGTGGCTGTTTCCAACAATTTATGCAGATGAGGTTCAGGCCTACCCAACTACCAGACTAGGCACCAAACGATCCTGAATTCACCGGTCCACACTACCCGTTTTCAAGGTGTGCATCAGTACGTTCTTCGAAGTATCAGAAGCTACACCGCTCTTGCCTAGTATGCGATGTGATAGTGATTCTCAGCAGGGTTGGAAAGTAGTGCATCTCATCTCAAAATTTGTTCCGAGGTATGATACTGTGAAATGCGTGCTGACACACACCTTGAAAACAGGTAGCGTGGTCCGATATACCGGTGAATTCAGGATCATTCAGTGCCGAGTCTGGTAGTTGGATAGGCCTGAGGTTATTTTAATGGCATCTTTTTGCTGAGCACATGGTAAACCCAGAAGCAATTGTTGTGAAACTACTTATTATGTTCACTTTTGTGTCATTGCAAGTTCGAATAACTGAGTGCCAATGTCGACATTGTAACATCCAATCTAGTAACACATACCTGCTCTACTTTCACTGTCTGCAGGCTTCACTTGGATTGGACGGTTCATCTGAAAGAGTAAAATAAATAATTGACATATGCATCTTGTATGCAATTTACATACTATTATATAACTTAATTTTTTAGTAAAACAAATATCAAGAAATTAGACTGAATGATTAATTTTACAAGCTTGTAGCTATTGAAAGATTTCAGCATTACATCCTTTTATCTGGGTTTCCTAATTAGCTCCGAGTAGTTATTTGAGCTGAAAGTGAAGCAAATAATGGGTGGATTGAAACTGATCAGATTTTTAGGTTATAAGCCAAACAGTGTCACAATCACGACTGTATTAGAGGCATTAGGATCTGAACTGTTCCTGACACATGATCCTCTCTAAGTAGTCAGAGATATGAGATAATATTGCCCTACATTTTCAAAGATTTCTTCTGATTTTTCTTTATAATCACATAGTAGTATTTCCAATAATAATAATGTAAATGAATGAAAAAGGTGCATGACAAAAAATTGAAACAAAAGATGTTTATTTCCTTCTTTCAGAGTACTGTGATAATATCCTGTGGTACAATAATACTCCAATCAAACTGTCATTGCTGATCAACAAGAAGCATGACACTTGTTATGAAACCAATGCAGCATCTCTAAAAGCAAGTACAGGGATGAATCCTGATGAAATGTCTGAAAAACAGAAACCTTTCTTCTGCCACAAATGGCACAAATGGTGCTTCTCCAGTCTATAAACGCAATGTGATGGAAGTATCAGATGATGGAAGTATCAGAAATAATGATCTTTTTGTAGGTATATGGGTCATTATCAGCTCACTACATATCACACATCACATGATTCCTGGACTTGGGTAAAAACTACTCTGTATACCTGGGAAAAAACCTGCACCTCTTTAAAAGTTCTTGGAAACAGTTGGCACAGAAATTGCTACCAAACCAAACTACTTGCACTTACATTTATAAACGAAACCCTCAATCTATAATTTCAGTTCTGAAATAGATCTGGCAACCTGTGGACATTAAAAACTTAACTGTACCAATCAAAGAAAAAATTACATACATATGTCACATGTGAGAAATGACTTAAATCAAAATTTTTTGCATGCTGTCATCACACTATGAAACCAGACCAAGCATCTCCACTATGTCTGGTGCTGTATTAAAATTAATACCATTGCGCTCATATCCCGAATGAAAAGGGTTTAACCAATCTTCTTGTTCTACATTTGGAGATTCAACTAATAAATTATTTTTGTGTCATTAAAAAAATTTTATTAGTTCTTAGTTTTATTGCTCAAAATCAGGGCTTAAATAAATACATTCAACTTTGTATCTCTTTATACATGTATATCCTGACATGACTCTAAATTGTATTCCACATTGAAATGTGAAATTATTGTGGTCCAGCATTTTTTTCCTCAAAGACCTGCTATAAATAGTAAAACTTTAACATATGTAATAAATGAAAACACAGAAAACAACATTGGAATTAATTTGTTAAGCTATTTCAAGTGTAAATCAAGAATATCTTTAAAATCTTTAGATATTTTCAATACATTGTCACCTAGCTTTCAACCTGACACCAGAGTCTTAAAAAAAAAAAAAAAAATTTCATACCTGATTTGGTCCATCTCAGACAATGGTACATATGCATGCCAGGTCCTCACAGGCAACAATGTTTCACCTTTTCACAATGTATTTTTCCAAGCAATTAACTAGGACCAAATTATCATAGACGCTGCTAAAGCTGAGAGCACCTGCAGAACTCTCAGCACAGATAATGATAACAATCACCAAGGCTAGTTGGTTGGGCTTTAATTTCCGTTTTCCAACACATCTCCTGACAGGATGGACAAATATTCTAAAGGTGACGTAAAGAGAGCATGACACTGAATAAAGAAAACAATGAACCCTTTCTTTTTTACAAAAATAATAATAATAAATAAATAAATGATAAATAAAAAATTGGGGAAATTTCTGGACAATGATATTGTCCTATATAACTGCATCTTATATTTTTTGCAGATGATCAAATGATCAAATCTGCACCATGATATGCCATTATATTATTAGAGCAATTCTGTATCTTCATAATTGTCATCAGACAATAATCATTTCCTTTTAATAATAATAATAATAATAATAATAATAATAATAATAATAATAATAATAATAATAATAATAATATTTTAGTCTAAAATCCAAAATATGTTCAAAAGACTTTACAGAATTTATAAAATTCACAATTAAAAGGAAAAAAAATACTAATGGTCATAAGATGAATAGAAGGATAATAGAAAAAATGTTAAAGGTAAAAATATAGATATATAAAAGGATAGGAAGTGAAAATCAAAACTATGAACTAAGAACAATTATACGTAAAAAGTAATCTCACAAGAGTTTAAAAATAATATTGCTTAAAAAGGTAGGTTTTAAGTTCCTTTTTAAAATGTCCTGTTGTCTAAGTTTGATGAGTAAATAATTCCTTGCTCTAGGTACTGCAATTTGAAAAGCTTTGTCACCGTATGACACCAATTTTGCCTTATAAGCCTTAAAAAGAAGGTGGCCACAGTTAATCAAAATTGAATTCTCCACTGCTAAACAATTGGAATAAATCTATTTCTTTTGTCTAAGATGCATTTACTGAATGCAATTTTCTTCTATTGTACACTGCATAAAAAAGCTTTGTATGAATAATTCACAAATGACAGATCTTCTTGTTTTCCAAATACAAAAAGTTTCAAAAGGAAGACCGCAACAATACCAGACCATATTGCACTAAATTCAGTTCTGAATAAGTTCTTAAACAGCAGTCTTCATTTTCTTTCATTATTCAACCAGTTACCAATCAGTGTTTTTCCTGGAAAATTTTCAACCAAACCTATATTAGTAAAAATACTTGAACAAAACAAACTTCCCTGGGTGTTAATGACATGACAGATGAAACCTAATTCCTATTTCATCACATATGGCATCCCCTTTTACTTAGTGGTAAGATGCCTGAAACAGCTTAACCCAATTTGTTGTCTCCCTGCATGACTATGATAATTAACACACATACTCCATATCATTGTTCAATATTGAGTTTTGAAATTTGTCTTATGTAAAAAGGTATTGAAAAAGTCTATCAAAACATGTTGCATGTGTTAAGTTTACCACCAAGGGAACTGTCTGCATTTCTGTAGGGAGGACTGCAGATTTTTTTTTTTTTTTTTTTGTTAAAAACTGAAAAACTCTTGTAACCAGATCAAAAGTATCAAACATTCTTTGGAAACTTACTGAATGTAAAAAACAAAACAAAATAAAAAAAAATGAACAGGATAAGGTTATTTGTTTAACTTTCAGGTTTCATTTATCCAAAGGAAAAAATATCATGGTTTGGATCATTTTCATTGCTTTGGAAAAAGACAGAAGAGAAATTAACAAAATGCCTGTCGAAACCAAAGGCAAGTGTTCAAAGGTTTATTCTATTATTAAAATGTTTAGTTAAACAGGTTCATTCAATTTCCCAGGAAAAATTAAAGATATCATACCTATGCTTTTTCAAGTGCATGCTGAGATAAAATTCAATTACCTAAACATGCCTCACTTTATTTCTGTGATTCATTAAAGACAAAGATGACAAAGAAGTATGTCAAACTTCATTTACAGCCCAACCCTCTGATACTATGGTTTCTTTTTTTACTTTGCCCAAAATGCACAGATTTTCTGAAAAACCTGGTCTTATACTGATGTGGTCAGCACATTGTCACATCACAAGAGACTAGAAAACATGCAAGAATCTGTAAGAGTTGGGGTTAACTTTTCAGTGATAAGGGAGCAACTCTTCAGGTATGGTCTGGGAATGTCACCAGCAATACACACAAGGTGCAAAAGTGATTGGAAAAACATGGTCAATTAATACAACAAAACTTCAGTTAAAGCAACCATACAATATCTGTAGATATCTTCTCTCAGCTACTATTTGCTGTTGCACTAGCAACATAATTTTGAAAATTTTGTCAGCTTCATGCCTCTTGAAATATTAATTATTTTCAGTCACAAATTTTACTAATTTTGTCTGCCATTATCTCCTCTAAATTCCTTTAAATCTTTTTTGATTATACACTAAGTTACAAGACTTCAGCTATGTTTAAAAATACACATTCATTTTATATTGGACCTGTTCATTCACACCACACCACTTCAGTAGAGATTTAGTCTGACACTGGGGAGGATCAATAAGAAAATCTGTGTAACTGCCTTAAGAATGGTTTACCTCAAGGGGATAATTTTCTAGCAATAGTAGCCCAGTTAAACTTGTTTAGCTGTACCCAGCAGATTGAGAAAATCTCATCTTATCAATAATATATGAACATAGCCAACTTTAGTAACAATCCTTAAGACAAATGCAAAACCCATTTTGAGTTATAAATAAGATTTAAACAAAGCATTGACCTGTCAACTTTTCAAAATACAAATCTAATTATCTGTTTGAATTTTTTATGAAAAATACAGATTATATCATATAGAATCATTTATCACTTATCAGATGTCTGAAAATCAGCAAATTGGCCTCAGTCAAAGTCTATCATTGTATTATATTATATTATATTATATTATATTATATTATATTATATTATATTATATTATATTATATTATATTACCTAAACCAGAATGTCAATGTCCTCACAAGAGTTGCAACAATACTATCATTGAACATTGCCATCTTAGGCCTCATTCACATCAAGAAGAGCCGAGGCTCTACAAAGCCGAGAACTAAATATGGCAGTACAGTCAGGGTACAGTCATTAAATCTTGGCTCTATTGGGACGACGCGTGGGGAGATGGTGAGAGGCAGAGAGACCATTAAAGGATTAGGCGGTTTTCCTTTCATGTACGTCCACCATATTTAGTTCACAGCTTTGTAGAGCCTCGGCTCTTCTCGATGTGAATGCGGCCTTTATGATCAAATGTTTTCTATTTTTCTGATTGGTCAAGAAGTTGGATGCAATGATGTTATTGGTCAACATTTTTTATCAGACCTTCAATTTACCAATATA